TATTCATTAAGATGAGTCGCTCAACTAATCCTGTTTGGCTGAATGTAAAAAACGTGTAAAGTTATGTAAAAGGTTAAATTAAAAAGTTAAATAACCCTCTTTTAACGTTGCTTTTCATAGTTCACAATGTGTTAAAATAAACCACAAAAGCCCATGTCAATCAAACATATACTTTTGTTTTACTAGCTCTCCAAAGTATTCGTAATTCTTAGGCCCGTCAAACTGTCCTGCCCCCCTTAACGACTCGAAACTTTCCTCATTCTTTCATCTACATAACAATACAACTTCAGTGTTTACGTTCGAAATCGAATCTCAAGAAGAGAGCCTCAAAGAAGCATCACAGGCCGCATTTTATACGACAGTCGCTCAGGGAGATACTTCTTTAAAGAGTGATGCGAAACTTCATAAAAAGCGTCTGAAACGAGGTTGCAACGAGGCCGGTGGTAAATCTGGCTTTAACGCTCTTTCGGAAACAGTTCCCGACAGAGCCCATCTGTTCTGTTCTTAAAACATCGCCAGTTACATATTTCCCATCCCGAAGACGCTCACTCTCTCTCTCTCTCTCTCTCTCTCTCTCTCTCTCTCTCTCTCTCCTCTCACGTCCACGATACGACAAGGAGGGCTTTGACGTCTCGCTTCGAGCCACGTTAATGCAGCACCGTGGCATCACTTCGTTAACATTAAATCGAATCGACACGCAGCAGGTGTCTATTTGACGACGAAAGCTTTGAGCAATTTCCGCGGGATCGCTAAGTGAAGCTTATATAAAGCTAAAAATATCTTCAATCTATAGTCACATCCTAGACGACGGCGGCGGGAAGTTTTTGCACGAGGAAATCGGTTCTAACGATACCTCGGCCGCGCTTAACAAAGTTCCTCGAACCTCTCGGCGGAACTTCTAAAGAAGAGCTACATTTAAATGAGCCTTCGTACATACAGATATAATATACGCGTTGAGAAATTAATGTGTATTAAAGTACAGAGTAGGCCAAAGTTTCCTTCCGCAACGATACGTAGGAATCTCTCGGCTTGAGATCCCAATTTGTAGGAATTTTGTTAAAGGATAGTCGTTTATTTAAGGTTGAATAGAAGAAAATTTGTTTAATGATGATTATAAAGTGACGTTTTACACTATTTCCTTAATTGTTAAACTCGCTAGGCTCGCAATTCTCAATTCACTCTCTTCTCTCTCTCTCTCTCTCTCTCGCGCGCAACTCTCAACTCCAGTTTTCACTCTTTCACGGCTCGCTCACTCTACTCTCTCTGATGTCTCGACACTCACTCTTCTCTTTGACTTCTTGACACTCATTCTGTTCTCTTCGACTTCTCGATACTCACCGCCCTTTTTCCTCATCTGCACGAAATTCGTCATTCATACACACATACACACGCATACGCACAAATGCATCCATACCCTTAGAGCCTTAGACTCGACCAAGTCCTAGGCCTAACTTTCTCTACAGTTTATGGTACACCACTTGGGACATCTGGTTGCAATTGTTGGGCACTGGGGAAAGTTCTGGGCCCTTTCCCAAAATTTGCCCATTCCACAGATATATAAGAAGAAACTAATTTTATTTTATTTATTTTATTTTTCTTTTTAGGGGATTTAGGGTCGCATCTTTAGCAACGTGCTGGAATTTTCTCTTTATATTTGGTCGAATAGTTGAGTCTCCTTTAGGTAGTTGATAACATTTCTTTGATGTTTCTGAGAGATTAGGGCGGTGTTTCGGTTCAATCCGTATTTGCTTCTTAGGTTTCTGCATTCATGTAACAAGTGTTGGATGGCAATTTGTTGGTTGCAGAACGGTATTTCTGTTTTGGCTAGGAGGTATTCGTGTGTGATCTTGGAATGTCCGATTCGAAGCCTAGTCATAGCTGTTGGATGACCAACCCGGACACTATTGAATCTATGCAAATACTGACAATGAGCTAGCAACAGTTCACATAAAAGTGGACTGTGAATAGTTAGTCATAAGGGCAAGATCCAATAGTTGGTCATCTATGCTCCTTCCCCTTCCACTTGACGATGATAACCAAATATATATAAGGATGATAACCAAATATATATATACATGCTTTAGAGACATTCGAGAGCATAAAACATCCTATATCATTAAGAGCATAAAACATTCTAAATCATTAAAGAGACATTCTATATCATTATAGAGACATTCTATATCATTAAAAGCATCAAACATTCTAAATCATCATTATATCATATTCAAGAGCATTAAACATTGTAAATCATTCTATATCATTCTATTTCATACACGACCACGACTGTAAGGGACTAAACTCTTCTAAATTGTAAGCATGTTGACTCCATTATACAGAATCCAACATAGCTATCCTTTCTTTTCTGTTTGTGTTGTTGTTTGGTACTTTTTGGTAGAAATGATATGCTGTGTCGTGTATTTTAGTTCTGTTTGTCGTAGTCCAAATTCTGTTCCATTTTTCACTTTCAAGTTCGTTGAAGCTAGTAGGTTTTGGTGTTGGATTGGGATGTTGGTTTCGTTTTTTCGACCTGTTGTTGCTTCTTTGGCTAAGGTGTCGGCTTTCTCGTTTCCTTCTATTCCTTGGTGTAAAGGAATCCAGATGATTATTATTTGTTCACGATCGTTAGTATGTTTCCTGAATCATTTGTGTGACTTTGTGCTTTTTTTGTGGTATTGGTGTTTGTTATCGCATTTATCGAGGTCAAGGAATCTGTGTAGATTACCACTAGCTGGTAAACAAATTTTATTAATTTCAAATTAAATTTAAGTTCAAACATTGATTTGGAAAATTATTTCTTTCAAATGTCGACCACCAGAGAATTCGCAAATTGTAAAAATACATGATAAAATGATTACGGATTTATTTCAGTAGGAAGTGATTTTTGGGCTACCCTGTATAACAACTTTGCTGAAATCAAGCCTCGACAGTTTTGGCTTGACATTTACTAGACTTTTGCATACGTAAAATTGTTATAAATCTAGCAACTAAAATACAGTTTGATAATATTTATTATTGTTAACTATAATTAACCAAGTGCCCAAGCTAATTAAATTGATGACTTGTTAATTGTTTTATTGCAAAAACAGATTATGTGACAAACGTGGGTCGATACTGAATTTGAATATATTCTTTAAGAAACTTTAGGTTTTCTAGTAGGTTGCCAAGAGCCCATATATTTTTACCTTGTTTCAATATTTCCGGCTTTTCTTATTTTTGCAGAATGTTTCTATTGAGAAGCGAGATATATGTGTTCTGCTTCTACAGCAATGTTTCATGGTTCCAAATGATATACAGAAAAATTGAAAGAAAGGAAAGAGGATTAAACTTTGTTCTGTTACAAAATCCTTATTCTACTTCAGGAGGGAAATTAATCTTCCACTAATGAGAAGGAAAAGAAAGTCTTATATGTCAATAATGATCAACTAAGATTTTAATTGCAATAATTAAAAACTTTGTTTTCATATTATAATTAATATAATTGCATATTATAATAATTATATTACATTATAATATTTTATATCATGATAATTATATTATTACAATAATATTACAACTATATTTTTGTCATATTCGGTTGCATCTTATTCATATTATATATTTTGTATAAAATATTTTGCAATATTTTTTTCAAGTTTCATCTGACACAATAACAACATCTGCAGTCTACACGTTGCTTGTTATTTTTGCGTAAATTAATCGTTTAACAGAAAATGAAATAACAAATTAATACGCCCGGAAAAACAACATAATTACATAATTTGAAATAAATACGCGAGATATTTGAACAGTAGTTCATAACATTCCTAATTAATTCGTTTATGAATTTACTTCGACTGTTGCAGACAGGTGATTTATTTGATGGTATTTTATCCGGAAAATGTATAATGTGTTATTAAATTTTAATGCATCAAGGTGCTGAAATTTAGGCAACATAAATTCACACGTGTCAAGTACAATCATATACTATATGTGACAGTGGAGAGCGGACGATATATAAGATAATATATACAATGAAAATATATAAAAATTGATTGAGAAAATAGACAAAAATAACACGTACACTATAAAAATAAAAAGTAAGATATTATATATAGACGATAAGAAATAAAAAAAAGAAAAATCATTTCTCTATTCTTTAAATTTTATCAATTCATTTCGTTTAGCTGTATTATAGTTGATTTAAGAAAACGTTGTTGCCAATTTTCACTTAATTACACAAAATGTACTATTTAATTACCTTGAAGAATAACATAAATATAAATGATGATAAATATTATTGAAAGATAATAACTCTGTATTTAGCAAATGCATTTTATTTTTAATATTACATTGTGCTCGGTTTGTGACGAATTGTATAAAATTTGCAGTACTATTTTCCTTTTGATAATGATTATTTTTCTCTTCTACAAACTAAACTATTACTATAAAATTAAGATTGTAAATTAAATTGAATTATATCATTGATCTGTTAACTTTGCAAAAAATTCGTTCATGAGTTTCAAATATTTTTATATGATTATAAATTAAATAATTATTACATATTATATTATAAATATAAATTTTTCTTACTTTATCTTGTTGAATAAATGTGCACAATATTCTGCCATTTCGATGTAAAAGTTTAATTTTACACAGAAACGTGAGATATTAAAAATTTAAAGAGCAATAAATTAGACAGTTACGAATAAAAAGCAACTGAACGAATTATTTATACGATTATTTAATTCCACCTGCAAAATTACGTAAAATTATCTCTGAGAAATTAAAATGTCTAAAAAAAAAAAAAAAAAAACACGCAAATAGGGAAAATTTCATGATCAGAAGAAGATACATCAAATCAAGTTACGAATCGTGTTCACGTCTACGAAAATATTATTTTTATCTTCCATTGTACAATTATTTTTTACATTATCAAAATCGAACACAGAGATTAAAGATTCCAGATTAAAGAGATACCAAATGAAAGTGTCGAACGACGAAGAACAAATTTTCAAACTTTCTCAAACTTTTTCAAGCCTCGATCCAACGACATCCAATTTCCATAATCTACGCTGATCGCGAATCGTAAATCGCTGATGATCGCTTGGACGCAACACTAAAACCAACACGAAAGAAGAAAATTATTAATCCGTCCGTCGATCGTGTCATTAACACTTCCTTCCCTCCCCTCCTTAATTTCTTCTACAACATTAAATTGATTTTATTGAATAACTGTTGGAACAATTTCTTCGAGGCTATTCACAACGTCTCACCGGGAAGTGCAACCGGATTACACAACTTTCCCCCTCGTCTTCCTTTAACCAATGGTAGTTCGTAGTTCGATCTTGCACCGATCTGCCGGTTTGATGCCACGGATCAAGCAGGAAACTCTTTAGTTTCCCCGGAGCGCTTAATCCACAATGCTCTCGCGTCCCCGTTTGATCCGACCAGCCGGACAAACGAGATTTTACCCGATATCCTTACAAATCTCTGTGAATCACCGGCTACCGGCGTTGACCAACGAAAACGATGTGACTTTCGTTCGACGAACTTCACGAGAGCATGAAAGGACGGAGGGCCCACGTTACATTTCGATCGTGATTGAGCTAACAGCGTCTGCCACTAATTTACGGTTTCCGAAAATCGTTTCGGTGACATACGCGGGATATTTGCGAATATTTTGTTAAAAATCAAGATAAATTTCTAATTTTCTAATTTTCTAACTTGGAGGATCTGTGTTACGTTTCAAAATTGAGCTAACAGCGTCTGCCACTAGTTTACAGTTTCCGAAAATCGTTTCGGTGACATACGCGGGATATTTGCGAATATTTTGTTAAAAATCAAGATAAATTTCTAATTTTCTAATTTTCTAACTTGGAGGATCTGTGTTACGTTTCAAAATTGAGCTAACAGCGTCTGGCACTAGTTTACGGTTTCTGGAGATCGTTTCGGTGACACACGCGGGATATTTGCGAATATTTTGTTAAAAATCATGATAAATTTCTAATTTTCTAATTTTCTATTTTGGAGGATTTGTGTTATGTTTCAAAATTGAGCTAACAACGTCTGCCACTAGTTTACGGTTTCCGAAGATCGTTTCGGTGACACATGCGGGATATTTGCGAATATTTTGTTAAAAATCAAGATAAATTTCTAATTTTCTAGTTTTCTAATTTGGAGGATTTGTGTTACGTTTCAAAATTGAGCTAACAGCGTCTGCCACTAGTTTACAGTTTCTGGAGATCGTTTCGGTGACACACGTGGGATATTTGCGAATATTTTGTTAAAAATCATGATAAATTTCTAATTTTCTAATTTTCCAATTTGGAGGATCTGTGTTACGTTTCAAAAGTGAGCTAACAGCGTCTGTCACTAGATTACGGTTTCTGAAGATCGTTTCGGTGACACACGCGGGATATTTGCGAATATTTTGTTAAAAATCATGATAAATTTCTAATTTTCTAATTTTCCAATTTGGAGGATCTGTGTTACGTTTCAAAAGTGAGCTAACAGCGTCTGCCACTAGTTTACAGTTTCTGGAGATCGTTTCGGTGACACACGTGGGATATTTGCGAATATTTTATTAAAAATCAAGATAAATTTCTAATTTTCTAGTTTTCTAATTTGGAGGATCTGTGTTACGTTTCAAAATTGAGCTAACAGCGTCTGCCACTAGTTTACAGTTTCTGGAGATCGTTTCGGTGACACACGTGGGATATTTGCGAATATTTTGTTAAAAATCATGATAAATTTCTAATTTTCTAATTTTCCAATTTGGAGGATCTGTGTTACGTTTCAAAAGTGAGCTAACAGCGTCTGTCACTAGATTACGGTTTCTGAAGATCGTTTCGGTGACACACGCGGGATATTTGCGAATATTTTGTTAAAAATCATGATAAATTTCTAATTTTCTAATTTTCCAATTTGGAGGATCTGTGTTACGTTTCAAAAGTGAGCTAACAGCGTCTGCCACTATTTTAGTGTTTCTGGAGATCGTTTCGGTGACACACGCGGGATATTTGCGAATATTTTGTTACAGCTCAAGATAGAGTAAATCTCTATTTTTCTAATTTTCTAATTTCTCCAATTTCAATTTTGGTTTTTAACAGTCTGTACTTTTTTAATAAACACAGGATAATTCAACGTAAAAGTAGAATAAATTTCTAATTTCCTAGTTTTCTGATTTCCAGTTTCAATTTTGGCATTTAATGTGCTTTTTAATAAACACAGGGTAAGTCAACGTAAAATAGAGTAAATTTCAAATTTCCTAGTTTTCTGATTTTTTTCAATTTTGGCATTTATTGTTCTGTGCTTTTTGATAAATACAGGATAAGTCGACGTGAAACAGAGTAAATTTCTAGTTTTCTAGTAATCTAATTCCCAGTTTCTTTCCAGTTTCAATTTCGGAGCTTAACATTTTGTGCTTTTTAATAAACACAGAATAGGTTGATATAAAATATAGTGAATTTCTAGTTTTTTTAATTTCCAATTTCAATTTTAATTTTTAACATTTTGTGCTTTTTAATAAGTACAGAATAGATTGACGTAAAATAGAATAAATCTCTAGTTTTCTAGTTTTCTAATTTCCAATTTCAATTTTGGCTTCTAACATTCTGTGCTTTTTAATAAACATAGAATAGAAAGACGTAAAATAAAGTAAATTTCTGGTTTCCTAGTTTCCCAATTTCCACTTTCTTTCCAGTTTGCAATTTTGGCCTTCAACTTTCTGTGTTACTTTGATAAAATGCAAGTAGAAAGAAATGCTGGAAGAACAAGGAAATTTAGTCAAAGTTGAGAAGAGCCGCTTAAAAAAGTGGAAGATTTCAGGAGACGTCCAGCTGATTTTAGCGTCCTGAGTTTTATAATTTTCGAAAATTTCGTTCGGAGATCGGTTACGAAATCAACGGAGAATCCGGGAATCCCGAAGAACGGCGAGTTTCATGTTTCAGAAGTTACACAGCTCATGGCGCAGTAACTTTAGGGAATGCTCGACGTTCTTGCAACTAATCTTACGTAACACCTAAGTTTAATCTTTCCCACTCTGGATTTTCTCGGGAGGGCAACTATGAATACACCGGACACGCAGCCGGCTGCCTTCTGAATTTCCTGTACGATTTGCATAAATCAACCATATCAGACAACACAAATACACAACGAGGAACCGTTGCATATGTTCCGCTCCAAGAAAGTTAGCTCTCATAACTCCAGATCCCGCGTTTGACGTTGCTGTAAGTTCGGAATGCTACATCTGTCACCGAAATGCAAAACGTATTTACACTGCGCGTAAGTAACTAGACGTTTAAATGCTGTTGCTGATGAACGTTTCCTTTTCCGTCAACAAACAACAGCTGATGCTTTATAAAAATCTGTTACGAGCCTGTTTCGAAGTGTGATCCGACGCTTTAGACTATTTCAATGGTTTTAAAAATGAGAATTTCAACAAAACGAGGAGACTTGACGCTTGAATGAACTGTCGGGATTTCCTAATTCCAAATTAATTATTATAGAGTGAAATTAATTATTATAGAGAACTGGAGAATCAATAAGGATGAAGAATTGTCGATAATTTAAACTGTTACAAACTTCGTAAAGAAAATTCATTTTAATGCTTCCACTACCTCACAGTACTTTCACAATCTTGAGTTCTTTTCTGCTCGAAAGTTAATTTTTTCTCGAAAGTTGTCGAAATTCAAATGCCTCTAAAAACAATAAAACAATAAAAAATTCTCTTTATTACTGGATCCACCAAATCTCCTCTTTGCAACAAAAAATTTGAAACTCTTCACGTGTTGATGTTATTTCAAGATTTATATTCTCTAATATCCATTTTCAACGATACAGGAGAAATATAAATTCCATGCATCAATTCGAGATTCTTTTTTTCTTTATAAATTATATATAATTAATAAAAGTTTATTGTAATAAAATAATTTTTTTTATATTGTATAATATATTAATATATTAATATTTCTTATATTGTATAATATCAATATTATAATTTAATAAACTCCAGTTATTAAACATAAATATTATTATGTTTGTTACACATAAATTAAACACAAGTTCCAATTATAAATTAAATTCATAATTAAATATAAATTAAATTAAGAAATAAATATAAATTAAATATAAATTGAATTAATAAATAAATAAATATTAAATATAAATTAAACATATTATTGAATTAAAAGTGAAAATTTACTTAAGGCTTGAAGTCACTCTGCAGAGTCTTCAGCCATTTAATTGTTATACCTATTTATTCTTTTTTTAGATAACTATCAATTGTATATGTTAAGATTAAAGTATTTTATATTGCAATAATTTAGAAATATGCAAATATTTATATATATCTGAGCTCTTTGAGAAGTTTGTACTAGATTTTCATACCTATAACTGATATAATATACAGCACGAACCTAATTAAAATTAATTCTAATCAATTATAAGGAAAAGGAGAAGGAGATTTCATGTTCAGAAAGTTTATTGTTAACTTGTCGAGCTTGTTTGCCTAATTTTTCACAAATCTTTGATCGAAATAATAGATACACATTCCTGAAATGAATTACTTATATATATATTATTATAATAATATTATCTTATATATATATATATATATATATATATATATATATATTTATATTATCTTTTAATAATATTTATGTTCAATAATTGGAGTTTATTAAATTACAATATTAATAAATATTATACAATTTAAAAAAATTATTAAAAGCGTTCAAAGCACTCAGAACAAGGCTTTGCGACACGAAAAGTATCGGCACGCCGACATATTTATTATTAAATTTAGACACCAATCGATTAAAGTCCAAGTAGACTACATCAGATCCCTGCGAATCAAAATTTCAAAAAAATTGTTCCCCATGGAACGTATACGTATGGGAAATCTCGAGAGCCGTGGAGCTCACTGAACGAAAAACGAACGAAAGTCAGTGTCGAACAAAAGTGCTGCCTCGCTGACGGACAGACGTCGATTAGACTCGCCTCTCGTGTCAAAAGCGCTAAACAATTTCGGCCCGCCCTTTTTCAAAGTCTGCCGTGAAATTACTCGCGCGAGAATTCCACCTATCGAAGGTCTTTGTCTCCCTATTAATTCTGTGA